TATCGAGTAGAGTAACGAGTTACCTCTATTTACTCTAAAGCTTTATTTATCCCTTCGTAAAAATAGAAGAAATTACCTCTATTAATCGTTATTCTTACCTCGCTTTTAAGGCGATTATAAGGCCTAATCTTTTTTTATTAATACTGCGTTAATATAGACTATAGACAGTTTATCGAGATCTAGATACTTAGATATTTAATAACCCTATTTTTTATAATAAAAATAACTATTCTTTTTATAATTAGGATTAAAGAATTCGGCTTTACGCTTTATACTATCGTCTTAAGTGCGTACTACGTAAGCGCCGCCGTTTAAAGTCGATTTAGGCTTCGAAATTCGATTCTCTAGAGGCTTATCCTTAATAAACCCCCTCGAAGACTTCGAATAGAAACCGTCGCCGAAGCGTATGCGTTTTAAAATCTTTTTCTATATAATAACCTAGATAAGAATTTCTTCTCGTTATTTCAACATACTACTAATATTTAGAATCTTATTCTTAAGCTCTAATCTAAGCTTAGTTAAGAAGAAATTAGCTTAATGCTTCTTAGAAAATGAGATTATATAGACCTCTAGCTTCTTCAAATAGGCCTTAAAAATAGATACCTTCTAATTAAAGCGTTATTTAGCCTTCTTTCACTTTTCGTAGATAAAAAGATAACGGTTTACTAAATCCGTTACTAAATTAAGCAAAAACTACTTAAAGAATTTAAAAATTATATTCTTTAGACTATAGGCTTAATAGTATTTATATTATTAAATATTAAGGTCGCCTTCTAAGAATTATATATAATAAATAATTCTTAATTAATTAATAGTGAAATACTTAGAACTTATAAGAAACTTAATTTCAACTTCGCGGAACTAGCGTAGATACTCTCTCTTACTAATATTCTTATAAAAACGTATTCTTTTAAGGCGAAGTGTTTTCGCCTTAATTAGTATATTCGTTAAAAGCGCGATAATAATTAACGTAGATAGGTCTTCGCTAGTCGTAGATGATAAGCTAATATTACGAAGCTCGCGATTACGAGTCTTTAACGCAGCCAATTCTTATTCTTATTTCAAGTAACGATTTTCGGTCTTAGCGACTATAAGACATTCTTTTATAGTAAGGTCTTCTACTAGTAAGAAATTCTCGAACTCATTATCGGCGCTATAACGGCTCTCGATATTACCTTCGTTTTTTATTATACGATTTAGAGGTAAACCCGATATTATAATAATAATAGACCTTTTCCTTTAAAAGGTAGAGAGATTAGAACTATAAGGGCGTAGTTTATTAGCGATCAGCTAGCGGGTATAGGCTATAAAAGACGTAGTATCGTTATAGGATTTAATAGTATATTTAATAGTAGAACTAATCTCTAAGGAATACTAAAACTTCGAGGTATACGAAGTAGACCTATATTCGCCAAGCCCCTAGATATACGGGGCACGTTATTGAAACTAGACCCTAAAAGGGACTCTGAAAGGGACTCTAACGTAGAATATGCGATGTCGGCGCCTTAGCGTAAGTAGCGTTAAGGCCTATGACGTATTAGGTCTGATAATTAAGCACTTCTTTTTATATAGTATCTATTTTAATTATAAAGAAACTCGATAAGAGATTTAGACTATATATAGACTATAGAGCTCTTAACGTATTTACTATCTCTAATCGAAATATCTTTCTATTAATTAAAGAGATTCTCGTTAAATTATACGCGATAAGAATATATAGTAAATTTAATATTATAGCCGCTTTTAATAAAATTAGAGTAAAAAAGGATTATAAAAAAAACTATATTTCTTACTCGATATAGTCTATTTAAATATATAGTTATATCTTTCGAGTTATATAATACCTCTATCACTTTTTAGATATTTATTAATAACACCTTACGCGAATATCTAAATATATTCTATACTATTTATTTAAACGATATTCTTATTTATAATAATATTAAAGATAAGTATATTTAGTATATAGAAAAGATATTAAAGAAATTTCGATAAGCTAATCTCTATCTTAATATTAATAAATATAATTTTTATATTATTAGAGTTAAATATTTAAAATTAATTATTATAATAAAAGAAGTAAAAATAAATATAAAGAAAATTAAAGTTATTACTTAATAGAAGAAATCTAGATATATTAAAGATATATAAATATTTCTAAAATTCGCTAATTTCTATTAAAAGTTTATTACGAAGTACTCTAAAATCGCTATATTTTTAATAAATCTTACTTATACTTAATAGAAGAAAGACTTTATCTATTTATAAACTTAAGAGTACTCTAAGTATAAAGTAACTCGCTTTCGAAATACTTAAGAAAGCTTTTACTATTACTTTTATATTTACTTATTTTAATTTAAATAAAAAGACTTAGCTAGAAATATTATATCTAATTTTATAGTTATTATTATTCTATTATAAAAAAATAAAGATAAAGTATTTAAATCTATAATATTTCTCTTTAAAAAGATATCTTCTATAGAGTATAACTATAATATCTATAATAAGAAACTTATAGTTATAATATAAGTTTTTAAGAAATAATATTCTAAGCTAATTAGTATTCTTATCGAGAATTCTATTAAAGTTATTTTAGATTATAAGAATTTATAATATTTTATATTTTTTAAATAACTTAACTTTCGCTAAATAAGATAGATAAAATTTCTCTTTAAATTTAACTTTTATATTATTTATTATTTAGAAAAATAAAATATTAAATCTAATAGCTTTACTTGATAAGTAGAAGATCTATCTAAAAATAAGAATAATAATTATATCTATTATTAATATTATATAATTCTTAAAAATAATAATCTTAATAAAGATATTAAGAATATTATATATTTTATTATTATACTTCTAGATAATATAAGAGAAAATATTATCTCTCTAGCTATAATATTATATAAATTTAATAAATAAAACGATATTAATAATAAGAAGTTTAATAAAGAATTACTATTAAGAGCCTTAATAGAGACTTTTTAAAAGAAATTCTTAAAAGAATTAAGAAAAATCTCTACTATTAATACTTCTAAATTATTATATTAAATAAAAAACGCTTATAATTATAATAATATCGCTTAAAAAATTATTTAATTAAAAGTATTTAGATAGAGAAAGTTATTACTTAAGATAATTAAAAATAATCTTAAATTAAAATTAGATAATTATTATTTTTATAATAGATTATTATATATTAATAATAGATTATATATATCGAATATTCTCGAATTATAAATGAAAATTATTAAAGATATTTATAATTCTTTACTCGAAGATTACGCTAATAGATTATTAATCTATAATAAAATAAATAGATATTACTATTAATTAAGAATAATAAATTTTATTACTCGCTATATTAAAAGTTATTATATCTATAAAAAATCTAAGATTTATAGAGAGAATAAATAAGATTTACTTAAATCTCTTTCTATTCTCGAATAATACTAATAAGATATTTTTATTAATTTTATTATATTATTATCTATTTATCTTAGATATAAATATCTTTATTAATATATTATAATAATTATAAATAGACTTAATAAGAAGAAGAAATTTATTTTCTTAAACTCTTTAGAAGTAGAGATAATAGTTTAGATCTTCATCGAATTTATATAGCGAGAGAAAGAATATTTATTTACTATTATCTCAAATCGAGATATTTAATTTATAGTATATTTTTAGAGAAGACTATACGAAAGGATTAAGACTAAATCTAAGCTCTTTATTATATTTTATCTCGAAATTAATAGATAAATAGAGAACGCTAACGCTATTCTAAAGTAATATCTTAAAGTTTATATTAATTATAATTAAGATAATTAGATAGATTTATTATTAATAGTAGAGTTCGAAACTAACTTTAATAAGAACGCCTTATTAAATATATTATTATTTCTTCTTATTAAAGAATATATTCCTTATTTAAAAATAGAATCTTTAATCTTTTAAAATTAATTCGCTAGTTAAAGAGCGAAGAGAGATATTAAATTAGCTAATAGATTTATTAAAAAGATAAATATTATAAAAAATTATTTAAGAAGTTAACTTAAATAATTATAAGCTTTATAAAAGAAATAAGCTAATTATTATCGACTTTTAATATTAAAATTTAGAGTTAAAGATATAATTATATTTAATAAAAGAAATATTAAAATTATATACTCTAGCAAATTACTAAATTATAAGAATTTTAAATTATTTAAAATTATTAAAGCTTTAAATAATTTCGCTTACGAGTTAAAACTCTCGATTTCTATAAATAATATTTATTCTATCTTTTATCTATAACTATTATATCTTAATAATAATAACTTATTACTAGAATAAATCGAGCCTTCGCTATTATCTATCGATATTAATAAAAAAGATAAAATCTATAATATTAAAGAAATAATTTAATCTAAATTAAATAAATAAAAGAATAATCTCTTAACTAATAAGAGGGGATATCTAATATATAAAATTAGATATAAAGACTTTAAGATCGAAGAAAATTTATTCTAGTAATTATTTACGAATATAATAAAATATTCGAATCTAATAGTAGACTTTTATTATTATTACCTCGAGACCGTTAGCCCTTATTTATTATTTAAAAAATCTTTAAAATAATCTTTTCTATTAGCGCTACTAATCTATAATAGCTATATTAATTTATAAAAAGACTTTAACCCTATAACGAAATACTAAGTTAATATATCTAAGGATATTACTTCGTATACGTCTAGATATACTTTTTATAAGATCGGTGTTTACTATATAGTAGTCGTCGCCGAAGCTTCGAATTAAAGGGGGGGGTAATATCACGATTTTAATAATCTTACTAACCTTACTTGTGTTATAGCCTAATTGGGCTTAGCGTGCTAAGGCCTTTCGGCCTTTCTATCTTACTATAAAGCCTACACTTGTAATAATCCTACATAGATAGTATTCTATTCATACTACAATACAGAGTTACCACACACACCATTGAGTCCCTGACAACAATGGTGGAAAGGTCCCTTGCGGTCGTCAAGAGGGGCGTCATCTGCTCAATAGATGCCGGCAATGAGACCTCCGGTCGATGTACTTGACCGACTGTATTGATCGCATCGTGGATATATCTATCAACAAGGTTCTTGCGTTCTTTGGCCGAAGTGCGGAGTGGTGATTTCCCTTGCATACGTTCATCTGGCGTGGAGTCTCGAACTCTTCATCAACCGCCTTGAAGGTATTCTCCTCCTGGGAAGATTCGATGAAGGGCAATGTGTCAGCTGACAGCTTGTCCAAGACCCTGAAGCTCCTAAGATCGCCCGGGACAAAGACCTGGCCAGCGTTGAGGCTGCCATGGCGTACCTCGGTATTCGAAATCCTGGAGACTGGCCTGAGACCCCAAGGCTCTATCCGATCATCGAGCAGCACATCTTGGAGCGCAAAGGTCCGATGCGAAGAGGGGAGATCCTGGGGGCTATCCTGGCGAGTCTCGCTGCAGAGGTTGACACCCTCCGAGATGCAGTGTGCTTTTGGTCTCTGATGTTCTTCGAGCACAGGCTAAGGTTCTCCATGCTCTGGTAAAAGGTCTCGTGGAGGATCTGAAACGATGATCTGTCAAGAAGGTTGACGAGCTGTATAATCTTACCTGACAGGCATCCTATCACCAGCATCCCAAAAAAGAGAGAAAAAAACACTTGATTGACCGACCATGTGGGTAAGGATTCGATTCCGCAGACGAATATTCGTACTTGGCATCGTTACCTACATGTGGATATATATATTCCACAAAAATTTCCCTTCTACCTAGAGTCTCAGCTCATGTTCTTTGACGGTGACCTTCACCGCTAATGAAGTGAGTGTGGCTCCACTTATACGTCGCTGCCACTTTGGTGTGGCCCGAGCACGCCCGTAATCAGCCTTACGGATACTAGCTCGGAAATGATCACAGTTGGATCGTTTCGGATATTTGCAGTCCCCTGCGGCGCATTCAATATCGATGTACATCATGGCCGAACAACCCCCAAGAACGGAGCCAGCGGCCTCAGCCTCGCCCTCATCTCCTATACCTGCGACCCGTGATCCGATTCCCCAGGCCTCGCCTTCTCCAGTCCCCTCTCCTCCACCGCCGCCACCATGAGGCCCACAACCCTCCTTCCCCCAGCTCTCCTCCTGCTCATCCACTCCGCCTCCGCCACCTTCTCCCTCAACGACACCGGTCCCTACTGGTCCTACACCGCGCGGCAACTATCCCCCACCACGGACCGGAAATGCTTGACGGCCTACTCGGCCCCGATCGCCTGCACGGAAACCCTCCTCGGCCTCGTGACCTCTCTGCGCCCGGGTTTCCAACCCACACGAGACGACCTCTCATCCATGTGTACGCTGGGCTGTAAGAGCGCGCTTGAAGATTACGTGCAGAATGTGGGCTCGGCATGCGGGGCGAAAGGGGATCTGGCCACGCAGCAGGCGGTCAAGTCGGGGAAAAACAACACGTACGTGCACGTGTGGGTTGTGGGGCAAATGTTCGAATACACCTATGCGCAATCGTGCGCGAAAGACGGGTACGCCCTCCCTCCTTCCTGGCCCCACAGATCCTCAACCTCGAAAATAAGAAGAAGAAGAAGAAGAAGACGAAGAAGAAGAAAAAAGAAGAAAAAGAAGAAAAAGCTAACCGCCCCCAGAACCAACAACTTCTGCCCCCTAACCTCCACCACCCTCCCCTCCGCCGCCGCCAACTGCTCCTCCCCCTGCTCCGTCGCCTTCTACACCAACGCCCACGACTTCGCGCCCGCGTCGCAGAAGCAGTTCCAGGACTCGTACCTCGCGACGCAGACGGCGTACTGGATCAAGCGGTTCAACCTGGGCTACAGGGCCCTGGTGGCCTGCGGGGAAGCGGTCGGGAACGCCAATCGGACGGAGAGCGCGGGCGCGGGCTTCGCTCCTCGGCCGACGGGGGCGGCGACGGGAGGTTTGACGGGGGGTGGGGTTGCGGCGGTGGTTACGGCGACGACGGGTTCGCCTGCTGGGACAAGTGCGGGTTCGGCGGCGACGGTGACGGTGGCGGAGAGTGGGAGGAGTGGTGGGAGTGTGCTGGAGGTTGACGTGAAGACTGCGATAGCGCTGGGCGTTCTGGGCTTGGTTGCCGCCGCCGTTTTGTCATGAGCAGCGGCGGTGGAAATCCTCAATCCTCACACACAAATACAGTTGCATGCAGATAGATGGATATATACCCAGCAATCGGTTCCCGTATTTTCGCAACGAGAAGATTTCGATTCGGGCCGTGTTTCAATTAGATATACCACCTCCAGGTGCCGTAACACTCCCCGCCGTGCTCAAGCCGTGTGCGAAAAGCTCCTCCCCTCCTTCCTCGCTTCAATCCCTCGCATGTCCATCCACCCATTACCTCCCCCCCTCCCCCCCTCCTCCCCCAAACCCCTCCCCATCCCCCTCCCCCCCTACTTCCCCCCCTCCTCCAAGCCAAAAGACTCAGCGCGCACGAGGCGGCAAAGGCCGCGAACGCGAACCAGATGAAAGCGGTATCGGCCTGGGCCTCGCGGCAGCGGTTGCCGAGGTTGACGCCCGGGGCGGTGTTGCCGGCGTGGTCGACGCCGCCGTTGGTGATGACGTTGTGGGCGGTGTAGGAGGCGCGGGAGCAGGAGTGGGCGCCGAGTTTGGCGGCGTAGGCCTGGAGGGGGCGGTGTGCCGTTGTTAGCGGGGTGTGCCGTGCGCGGGGCTTATGTGATGGGTGGAGAGGGGGGAGGGGGAAGTAGGGGGGGGAAGGAAAGGAAGGAAGAAGGACGGAAAAGAAAAGGAAAAAACCCACGACGCCGCCCGCAAAGGCGAAGAGGACGCTCAGCGCGTCGAGGGCCGCCATGACGACGCCGCCGAGGGCGGAGACGAAGGAGGCGGCGAGGCCGACGGCCGCGACGACGAGGAGCCAGATGCCGAGGAAGACGTTGTAGTTGGTGGCCGAGGGGGCGCCGCCGTAGGCCTGGGAGGCGACGAGGTGGCCCGAGAGGCCGAGGACGAGGATGCCGAAGAAGATCTGTCGCGGGGGGGGGAGGGGGGCGTTAGTTTGTTGTTGTTGTTGTTTTTGTTGGGGGTTTGGGAGGGATGGGAGGGGAGGGAGAGAGGGAGAGAGGGAGGGAGTACGTACCTCGAGGCCGCGGAGGGCCATGTTGGGTATCGAGGACATGGTGGGCGGGATCTGACGGGTTCGGCGACAGGTGAGGGTGAGAGGTGCAGGTGCAGGTGCAGGTAGGAGTGAAGTGAAGAGAAGAGAAGAGAAGATGAGTTATGGGACACGGATGGTAGGTAGTCTGTAGGTAGAGTAACAATAATGTTTGTTCGAGAGTCAAAAAAATTCCAACACCGTTTCCAGCCCCCTTCGGCGGGAAGGGGAGATTGGGGCTGGTGAAAGCGCTAGGCTGCAAACGGCGCAATGCGACGCGCCAAGCGCGTTTTAGCTCTGGGTGGTACGATACTTTCGTGTAAGTAACTTGGGGAAAGGATGGTTTACTACAGGTATGACGTGAGATGAAAGATGGTTCGGGATGGATATGAGTAGGGGAAGATGATGTGCTGGCTTGGGGAGTGTCTAGTTGTCGTGTTCATTATGTAAAGAAACCTCTTTCACTCAAGTCATGTCCGATTAAGCTAGCAACTATAGGCGAGCTCTCGATACGGCTCTTGTCCAATGATTGCACGCTGCTGTTTGAAACTCTTGGTGTTGTTTACCCTTCTGATTGTATGGCCCCGGTATTCATCACTAAGCTTTGGCTCTGCCCACGAGCTCTCCGTAGCCAATCCCACCCAGAACCCTCTGACAGCATTGAGCGAGCCCACCTACGCACAGTCCGTGCCTGGGTCCTAAGAAGTTGTACGGCAAGCGAGTGCCGAGCAGTGAGACGCTGTGCTAGTACTGGAAGCCGCGTCGTTCCTTCAGAGCTTTCCAAGGCCGGTGTGGATTGTCAATAGGTCCTGGTGCGGATCGTTGTCTTGCTCGTCTGCGGATTCTTCGATTCCAAAAACTTCTGGACGGCAAGAATCAATCCATCACCACATTTTCTATCTGCGACAAGTTCGCAGGTATCTAGCGTCCCTACGAAAGGGACCAGATACTGTACCCAGCTCTTCTCATGGATTGCATCCAGATAGCTTTGGGGACAAGGCCGTCTGAGGTCTGAAAAAGTCGAAGCACAGGAGATGCCCATTGTAAGCTGCTTCAGCTCTAGATTCTGGCGCATATAGGTGCATGCCGCCTTGAGAAACATGCCGCCTGCACTATCTGATAAGTCATCTGGAAAATGGAGTGGGAGACGAATCTTTTTGATGAGGCTTCGAGAAACCTGAGGCCGGTCTTTGAGGAACGATATGATAAGCGAGTGGTGGGGAAAGAAGAAGCAATTCTCGGAGTAGAAAACTTGGCGTGCCTCTGAGTAGGTTTGTCGATCCAGCGACAAGATAGCCGGGCGTATGTTCCGGGAGCAAACACGATACGTCCCCAAGTCTCCAAAACGCGATGGGTCGGTAGCGATAAGGTGACTTCTGACTAGTCGCAGGATTTCCCATCCAGGCCATGAAGAGCCTTCCTTTACTGATATAGTGTTCTCAGGAGCGTGTAAGAGGTATCGATAGATTCGAACTCGCAACTCGGCTGGTAGGTTGAGGAATGGAAAGGTGGGTAATGTATCTTCGTCCTTGTTGCCAGATCTGCAGCTTCATTAGAAAAGGGGCAATGTTATTGGGACATAGTATCATGGGGCACAGTCAGGTGGACACTCACACGAGGCTTGCTGAAGCATGGCTCTCACTGTCCTTCGACCTGGGAATGACACTTCCATTGCTCAATCCGAGGGCAGAGGTGCGAGTAGCATTGGCAGTGGAGACCTCGGTGAAATCAGACATCGCTGAGTAGAAAGTAGCTGGAGTGTGGTAGCTTCTCCCTGTGTTGCTTGAATGGGTCTATCGTTGATTGACGAATTCACAATTCCGATGCAACGAAGAGGTGAGACAGTAGTGAGTGTGGGCTATGTGATGTTAGTATATTCCAAACGGAGATCGTCGTGAGGTGAAGGGTGGTTGATAGCACTGACGCTGACTTTCTTGACGTCAATCTGGCGTCCGAAGACTACCCGAAAGAAGTCGATGTGAGGTGGTGTCGGTGTGGTTGGCGCAGTGCTGCTGTAATGCCAGCGATGCCAAGAAGGGTCCCACGGACACTAGTCTCCATATAGAGCTAGCGCTAATGTTCCCTTCCCTTCTGTGTAGGCGAAACAAACACCAACTGCAAAATGAATCTCGTTGAAGACGATCAGCGTAGCCTAGCACTCCGCTTTTGGAAAAGAAACAAGTCTGAGTCTGCGGTGCCCCTGGGCTGGATCTTTTTCGATTGGCTTTGGAGATCATCGGATGCCCCTCATAAAACTCCAATCCTTGGCCCGGTTCCTCTCCCTGGCTTCAATGCTCGGGGGATCTTTCAATTCTCTAGACGACCAGAACCTACAATTTGAACTCTCGACAGGAAGACGCTCGCTTTGTACTGGTTTGTCATCCGGTCATCTCCTCACAACTCCACAAGACCTTCCAGCACTCACATTCAGCAAAATTGAGCATGGCTTCTAGCATGAGGGAAACCGAGTACCGTATACATGCAAGTTCCATCGCTGGGGGCGAACATCGAGAAGCACCAGCTTTGAGTGAAGAGCTGGTGGGTAGAGGCATTGAGGAAAATGAGGATACCCGGCTACATCTCTCATCGTCAAGGGCAACCATGCGACGGGTAATGCCACAATACCGGATGGCGCAGCGAGTCAGAGCAGTGCCTGTATCGCCGCGTCGATGAGGCTTTGGAAAGGAAAAGGTGGAAAGGAGACACAGGAAGGCGCCGTACCGCGAGATCTGTGCCAACAATGGATATCGACGCAGACTTCTCGGGGGCGCTCACGGAACATCACATGCAATTATTAGCCAGAAAAAGCCATTTGAAAGAGAGGGGATGCCCCCCGAGCAAGTAGCTGCATAAGGGAATGGGTGGTAGTGATGGCTTGGAAGACACCATCAGTTCGAAGCCACCTAGATTTTCTCCTCTTCTGTATAGCCAAATTTCGCCATGAAGAGGCCGTGTGTACCGAGCGAAGAGCTCGATAATAGCGACCCATCACTTCTGACACCTTGACCAATGTGATGCGGTCAGACCTTCGAGTACGGCACGGACGTTGCGCCGATGCCTTACGCATATCTTGCATTGCGCACATGCACGGGGACAAAGCCCTCATCTGCATGGAGAAGACATTATCTTATTTCGTTCACGGAAATCTCAATTCCCAAGATCGACAAGCCTTCCGTGGTTGAGCTTTTGAAGCCAGCCATCCTGCGCAGTGCCAACCTGTGGCTGTGAAGCTCCCTGCGTAAATGATGGTGGACAAAAGCACTGGAATTTCAGCGCGAACAACACTCCAGCCAACCAGGGGCCCCTTTCGGTCGTTATATGGTTGGTGGCCCGGATATGGCAGCATACACCGTTGTGCTGAGCCTCCGACGCACAGGAAAAAGGTCCGAAAAGCGGGAAGCGGGAGGCGGGGAAATTTTCGAATCAAAATCTTCACAGTCCAAGAATTTCGCTTCCACAATTCCCAGCGGCCGGGTCTGCCCTGGCCCCTCGGTCGCTTTCTCTTGTGGGCTTACGCCTCATGATTCATGACTTTTACTGAGCGTCTTTTGCTGTGGAGGTGTGAAGTTGGAAAGCAGCGATTGGAAGAGTGTCATTGGTGCCTTGAAATGCTCCGAACAGTTTGTACGAGGCTACTGTTGGACCAGGACCCCCTGCCTGCCTGTGTGAGCCTGCGTTGGAAATTCTCTCGCAGCAACTGTCATTAGTACACAACTTAATACCCGTTTGTGGTAAAGGTAGAATCCACTTGGGCGATTTGAGGGAAAGAAGCTTTTCCTTATCACCTGCGCATCCAGAGTAGGTGCACTGGTTTTGATGCGCAAACGAGACAGTACCGTAGGGTGGCTAGCTGGCACCTCCTCCTTCTTAATGAGGAAGTTGAAGGGACTATTTCCTCATGCAGAAGGAAATGAAGGGAACACATGAGGACTGGGGAAGACTACGGTATCAGCTATTCAGGGACGGGGATAAAACAGGAGAATGGAGAATGGAGAATGATGGCCATTAATTCATCATAGCGTCGAAGCCAATATGGGGGGAAACAATAGCGCTCCAATCAATCTAAGCGACATTTTCATGAGTGTACTTTAGACGCTAGGGTACAGCCAGCAGGCCACAGCGGACCTAAGCCCGGCCCGGAAAGAAGCCGAAAGAAAGTCAGCCGAAGGGCCAATTATGAGGGGCACTAGGGAAGCACTAATGGGAAGGAGGGAAGGGTACGGAGTAAGTAGGACTAGATGACTGATGGCCAAAACACCAGGCAATTCAGGATTCTAGAGTCAGGGACCCCTGCATCGCCATGCAGCTGCCATGCGACACGGGGCAAGTACTCATACCTAGCACAAATAATTATCCGCTTATCTTGCCAAGTACCTTACTCACTTTGAGCTTCTTCTTTTTAGCTTCTTCTTCATCCTGTTGATCCCAGGATGAAGGATGGAGCGCTTCCTCCCAAAATGATCCACTTGACACTCGGGCTCATGACACAAACAACCCCTGCTGACATGTTACTGGTCCGGTAAGAAAGGGAAAGGAAAGATAAGGAAAAATTTAGGGAAATTCAAGAGATGAAGATGCTAATTAAGTACGTGTCAATCTTACACACTACCTGACTACCCATCTTCTTTACCCCTGAGTCGTTTCCTGAATGGCGCGTCTCATTGGACCTCGATTACGTCCCGTGTGGAAGCTAACCGCACTTGCATCTCAGGCCAGTCAAGCCATCCATCTCAATTTTCGCTAATGGCCCGCAACTCTGCTGAATTGCTCCCGTCCTCCACTCCTCCTCACTGCCTCACTTTTCTTCCTTCCTTCACTACGACGCACACCATCGTTGACATCCCCTCTTTCCCTTTTCATTTCCTTCCCTCACCTAGGCAGTATTCGCAAAGGCGGCTGCTGTGACCGGAGAATGTGATAGCAACAACGGAATGAAAATACACTGTAAGTCGGAAATTTCTACTAAACGCAGCTTCCTTCAAAAATCAACAGCTAACCGTGCAAACTCCTCTACAGAACACCGAGCACATCCGGATATGCCTTCCTCCGAGGTCAATTTCAAGATCCAGGATGAAGGGCGTCTGGCAGAATTGGGATACACGCAGGAGTTGAGGCGAGAATGGAGTCTGTTGCACAACTTCGGCGCATCCTTTTCCATCATTGTGAGCGAACACTCCACCAGCAATACACCAACGCACCTTTGCTAATGCTTGCTCACCCTTCAGAGTGTGGTGACCGGGATCACGACGTACGAAAAACACTACATTGCCTGCCGTGGAAATTGAACTGACCATGTTCAAGTCTCTTCGCCTATGGCCTCAACACAGGTGGGCCCGGCGTCATGACCGTTGGGTGGATCATCGTCAGCATGTTCAGTATGAACGAACCATTCTGTCATGCCTGCTCCTGGACTGACCACCCGGTAGCACTCATCATTGGCGCCTGCATGGCCGAGATCCTCTCCTCAATCCCTACCTCCGGCGGCCCCTACTTCTGGGCCTACATGCTCGCTCCCCAACACAATGCCCCCTTCTTCGCCTGGATCACTGGCTGGTAAGAAGCCACCGCCTCCACAGTGCTCATCCCCATCGTTGACCCGATTTCATGTAGGTTCAACCTTTTGGGACAGATAGCCGTCACCACCGGGATAGACTTCGGGTTGGCAAACCTAATCTCCACCACGGCCCAAGTCAGTAATGGTTACCACGCTTCGTCCGGGAAGACTTTGGGCATACTCGCGGTGGTGCTGGTGTCGCATGTCCTCATCAACCTGTTCAGTGTGCGCACTTTACGGTACATGATCTACACCTCCATTGTCTTGAATACCCTGGGGGTGTCATGTCTGGCCATCGCAGTCCTTGCAAAGGCACCGACGCACCAATCTGCAAAGTTCGTCTTTTCCACCTTCTACGATGGCACGGGATTGCCGGGTCAGGACGGGTGGAGCATACGAGCGTCTCCGGCATATGTGGCCGCCGTCGGAGTCCTGATGTCGCAGTACACCATTTTGGGCTTTGATGCTTCAGCCCATCTGTGTGAGGAGACGAGGAAAGCCGTCAGGGATGCTCCGTTGGGGTTGCTTTCGGCGATTGCAGGGTCGTCTGTGATTGGATTCTTTTTGATCGTCGCTCTGCTATTTTCGATTCAGGACTTCCAGGCTGTCAGAACCAGCCCGCTACCAGTGTTGAAAATCTTGATGGATGCATGTGGTGAAGGAGGTGGATTGGTGCTCATGGTCCTGATCATGCTTTGCGTCTGGCACTGCGGTCTTTTCAGCCTGGTCCGTAACCCACCCTTTCCCTCTCACACTCACGCAACCCCGTGCCCCAATAACGGAACTCAACTGCGCCGCACTAACACTGCCAGACGTCCAACTCCCGCATGATGTTCGCCTTCGCCCGTGACGGCGGCATTCCGCACCGACTGCACATCATCGACCGCGGCTTCCACTCCCCGATCCGCACCGTCCTCTTCGGCGCCGGCTGTTCCTTCCTCCTCGCTCTCCCGTCCCTCGGCTCCACCGTCGCGTTCGACGGCACGACTTCCATCGCCACGATCGGCCTCTACCTATCCTACGGCATCCCCATCGCCATGGGCCTCGCGTACCCACGCAATTTCAAACGCGGGCCGTTCAACCTCGGCTCCGCATCCAAGCCCCTCGCCACCGTCGCCTGTCTCTGGATTGCCTTCATCACTATCGTGTTCTGCCTGCCGGCGGAAAACCCGGTTACGCAACAGACGCTCAACTACACGCCCGTGGCCCTGGCGGTGGTAGGCGTCTTCGCCTTCGGCTCGTGGTTCCTATGGGCGAGACATTGGTTCACGGGGCGGTGTAGGCATCATTGCAGGATCTGCATTCGGCAGTTGGACTTCCTGGGCGAGGAGATGGTGTACAGATCCGACACCGTGGACAGCGATGGCCATCAACGGCTGAAGAGTAACGAGGGCACCAACGACGGCTTTCAGCCCAGTGATCCCGATTTCAGGAAAAGAGGGGAAAGTAGAGGCGGGTTGAAGAAGGCGGGTGATCAGTAAGTGCATTCTTCTTCCGTGCTAACCAATTCATCAATCCATTCATCCATCCATTCATTCAATCAACCATGGCATCGCCACCACCGACGCAAGGGCTAACGAGCGGTACGTCCGAACAGGAAAATCTCCGTCGGGAGGGAATTCGAAGTCTACTCCGCTCCCGCGAGAGAATACGAAGAAGTGGGCGAAATGTAACATAACATAAATGGAAATCAAATCAAATCAAATCAAATCAAAACAAATCAAACCATCGGCGGCGATTGGAACCGGGGATGTATGTACAGGGTTCATGTATCCATGGGGACGTGAAGTGAGTGAGTGAGTGAGTGAGGGTTGGTAGGTAGCTGTAGGAGTAGGAGTAGAGTACGAGGGACTCGTTGGAGTGGGCGGTGGTGGGTGGAGTTGATATGATACCCATGCATGCGTCTATCTATTTATCTATCTGTTTATCTATCTATCTAGGAAGGAAGGAGAGAAAGAAAGGAAGGAAGGAAAGAAGGGAAGAAGGGAAGAACGGAAGAAAAATGGAAAAATGGAAAGAAGGAAATCAAGAAGGAAAGAAGGAAAGAAAGAAAGAAGGAAGGAAAGAAGGAGAGAAGAAAAGAGAGAAAGAAGGAAAGAAGGAAAGAAGGAAAGAAAAGATATTCAATCCACTCATGCACACGACCAGGATTGAATTCTTCACTCGATATCACCCATTCGCCATTCGCTACTTCCCATTTCCTATTTCCCAATCTCAAATGTCAATCTCAAATCTCAAGTTTTGCCTCTGCGTCTAATTCAGGACGGGTGTGGGCGGCTGCGTCTTTTGTTGTATATCTATCTACGCATCTATCTTACTCTTATTCTTATTCTTATTCTTATTCTTATTATATCTATTCATCTATCTTATTATTATTATTATTATTATTATTATTACTATTATCATCATCATCACCATCATCACCATCACCATCACCATCACCATCACCATCATCACCATCGGGATTGAAGCTTATAATACTATTGTGTTGAAAGACTACCAAGTGTCTCCGTTCCGTTCACGCACTCGCTACCGTCCGACCGGACTGAGGAGGGGAGGAAGGAGGTAGGTTGGGCGGTTTAAAGAAGATTAGGTAAGTGCAGGGCGTGCCCGGAATTGAGAGTGAGTGAGAGTGCGAGTGAGGGGACTTTTGACGGCCTGGGCGGTTGGATGGGTGGGTGGGTGGGGGATTGTGGATGATGGGATGGGATGGGATGGGGTAGGTTAGGTTGGTAGGAGGGGCAGGGGTTAGGGGTGAGGGATGGGGGGTTGGTAGGAGGGAGGAGGGGGGAGGGTTGTGTGTTTGGAGAGTTGGAGAGGTTGGTGAGTTTAGGATTGGTGCATGGGTGGGTATAGAGCGGGCTTTGAAATGAGGCAGGTGGGTGGGTTGGGTGGGCGAAAAAACCCCAAATCCGGGTACCGGTTCTACCACCGACGTGAGGGCTACGGGCAGAACGATCGAGGGGGGCCAAGTCATCAAACAACAACAACAACAACAACAGTGCGAAGGATGTGGAAAAGCTTCTACTCATGCGTGGGCGAGCGTGGATGGGATCGGATCGAGCGAATCCGTTTCTCACAAACGTCGTGTTGTCGGGATGGGATGTCGGTGACGGGTTCGAAAGTGCCCACTTGTTCTGCAGTGGACAGCACCGGTGAAGCCCTAACCCTACTCTCGGGAGGTGACCCTACAGCGGAACTGTGCATGAATTGAACTGTGCATGAATTGAGCTCTGGGGACTTTTTATCACTCGGACGTGATAGGGGCAATAGGCCCGAAGCTGGAAATCGAGGTGCGTGCCGGAACACTTCCACCCAAGCGCAAACCCTTTCAGGCGGGAGATGTTGGGGCTGGCAGGTGCAGGATTTCCGGTGCCGACCTCGATAAGGTAGGTAGTTAGTGGTTGCGGGCTGGGGTGAGATGTGTAGGAGGGGCGGGCTGTGGGGTTTATATGGTGGGTAGACGTAGGTACGAGTGCCTTAGAAGGTGGAGAAAACCTACTATGCTAACCCGACTAGGGAGGGAGGGAGGGTTTGATCTGGTCTGACTGACTGACGGCAATGGATGTCTGAGCTAGCTCTGCGAGAACGACTGCTGACGGGGAAGGAGCTGTGTTGGAATTCAGCATCTCAGCCCTATTGTGCTTGGCAACAACTATCCCCTTCCTTGAGTCCGGGTGGACCACGCTAGCAGGGGCCAGATGTAGGGATTATTATTGGTCACATCACTGCTTCTAACCGATTTCATCTTGCTTATTAAGATTTTTCTTTGGTAAACGGTGATTGGACAAATGATAATCCCTACATCTGGCCCCTGCTAGCGTGGTCCACCCGGACTCAAGGAAGGGGATAAGTAGCAGTACTCCTCCATAGAAAAACAACAAGCCGTCATCAATTTCATCAGGTTATGAGCCCGGTTTGACGAAAATCGTCACCACGACGGCTTCCTTCGTAAGGGATTACTAAAGGTATTCTTACGTCGTATTAATTCAGCCACAGAGTAGAGGTCCCGGTCGACGTCCGCTGCGTTAACACAAGTTGCTACTCATACCTCTACGGCTTCTCAGCGCAATTTTCACAAACTCTACGCATATCCTACGATACGATATCGACCACAACACTGTTAAAGGCAGAAGATTAAGGGGCTTAAAGGCTTAAGCTAGGATATAGGGGAGGAAAGACGGAAGCGTATCAGACAAGGCAGTTAGGGGAGGACAGTTTAGAGGGAGGCACGAAGGAACAGACACCCTCTCGAAGCCTACGAATCAGTCACTCGATATACCCTACAACACGCCACAAAGCCCTCTACGGAGATATTCGATAAGGCTCTAGGGGAGGACTCGATAGTTTAAAAAGATGTCAGATGCCAGTGTCAGATGCCAGTGCCAGAGCCAACGATGCCCGTGCCCGATGCCAGTGCCAGAAGCCCGTACATTTCGAAGTCGAACTAGTCACTCGATACCCTACAGCAAGTCATCTCGGAAAGCCCTACTACGGTAGACACACTCACATCTAAAGCACTCTTCCCGATTTCCCTACACGAGCGAGGTTTACGGGTTTAAGGAGGCTTCAAAGCAGGATACAGGCAGTTGATTTATGGAGCTACAGCTACAGTCCCAGGGGGAAATAAATAGGTCTTCGCTGCAGGGGGAGTGTTGGAATTCAGCATCTCAGCCCTGTTATGCTTGGCAACAACTATAAGTAGCAGTACTCCTCCATAGAAAAACAACAAGCCGTCATCAATTTCATCAGTACTTAGTCTCTTTGAAATGTACCTTCCTCATATGCTCTTCAAGAAGGTCTTCTCTCGTGAAACCGTGTGATCCAATACGCCCGCACCACTCGTACTTACAATCAAGTAGCTCGTCTGGTGCAGGGGGAATGTGCACAACCATATGACTTTTAAGATCGTGAGCTCGAGAACTTATGTGGCCGCAGTTTGGGTGTAGACAGGGGTACTCGGAAGGCGATGAAGGAATTGGGGTGCTGAATAAGATGTCGTCAGCGAATGCAGAAAATTGTCAGAGATGTAGGGTGGAGAGGCAATGCTTCCCACTGAGTGCACCAACGAAGAGAGTAGTATCCTACCTGAGCTTTCGCTCCTTCACGTATTTTGAAGAGCTTACATGAGCAGTATGAACGACCTCAATACCAGGACGGTCTGCTTTCTGTGGGCCCAGCTGGCGACTGGGAACATAGCTGTGGACTGGGTAACTTTGGACTGGATAGCTTTGGACTGGGTAGGTCTGGACTGGATAGCTCTGTTGTGGTTGTGGGCTAGCCACTGAAGGGACTCTGGTAGCATAGCCAGAATTAGAGTTGTCCCTGGAGTGATAGCCAGCGTTGAGAGGAGGAGGCCTGAGGGTTTGATGCCCATGTGGGTATAGGTATCCACTGGTGGATTGCTGTTGAAGATAGTAATTGGGAGTACCGTAAGTGTGGGAAGAACTGGATGAGAAGCCCAAGGCTTGGCCGCAATGGCCGCCGTTAGGATCATTCTCAGTTCCGCTTGAAGGATCATTTGCACTCGTAGGGCCACTGTTCCTCGTATAGGGCATATTGGGCAAGGGATATGCTTAGAAGCTAAAGCACGAGACGAGAAGTCGCGATATGAGCTGGAAATGTTCATTATATTAATGAAAATGCGCCGCCAGGGCATGTATTTTCTTTCCAACGCTCTGAAGATCACATTGATAGATTGATGGTCATGGGATGGGCGGAGACATAATAATTGGATGGAAGGGGTAGGTTGGAAGAGAGGTCAGCAGTGATATACCGACATGGCGGGGTTCTCCGAGACCATATAGTCGTTGCAGAGAATGAGGCTGTTCTTCCTGCGCCCTGCTACGGTGGCTCGGCGATCACCGTGCATGAGGCTACATAGAGCTTGCATCTCGCATCGTCCAATCGCGATGCAGCACCGTGAACTTGTTTCTTCTTCCACTTCTCGCTTTGAAGCGCGTAGGTAGCACACGATCTCTGGTGATGCGCGGATTCTGAGATGAAGAGAGTGGCGGAGACATTTGACCGCGGTGCTGCGCACGGCAAGGCTGCGCTCATCCTCGCCAATCGTTGTATTGGGAATGTAATATCCGCGATGCTTGCACGACCTCGCATCTAGACGATACGATTGGTCAATAACATCTGATAAACACGAACGCATAAATCTTCTCCTCGTGCTGAAAGGACTTGTTCTGTTAAAACGATATGTATGATGGTCATGAAGGATGGTTGAAAGAGAGCAGGAAGTATAGCAGGTCAGCCCTACGGCAATGCCGCCCAAGGCTCTGCAGCCGACTTTTTGTATCGAAGGCAAGCAGTAGCAACAGCCTCATCCCTCATTTTCACTACCCCCCTCCTTCTCTCCCCTCCAGCTCCGGCGTATCTCCAAAACAAACCTTCGCCATAACCCCCGGATACCGATCCCCACTCGTCTCACAACCCTCCACCGCCTCCCTATCTCCCTCGCCTGCCCCTCACTCAACACCACCCGCAAACTCCCCAAATTCTCCTCAAGATACTTCGCCTTCTTCGTCCCCGGAATCGGAATCACATCCGGCCCCTGCTCCATCAACCACGCCAGCGTTAATTGCCCCGTCGTACAACCTTTCATCTTCGCGATGGCGGAAAGCTTGTCAACGAGCTCGAGATTCTTGGGGAAATTCTCCGCCGAGAACCGAGGCATGTTGCGCCTCCAATCGCCCGGCCCGAAGTCCTCGGCGCTTTTGTACTGGCCTGTAAGCACCCCCCGGCCGAGCGGGCTGTAGGCTACGGTCGCTACGCCCAGCTCGCGACACGTGGCGAGCAGGTTTGTGCCGGAGGCGTTTTCGATGTCGAGGGTGAAGGGGGAGTATTCGATTTGGACGGCGTGGATGGGGTGGATGGTCATGGCGCGGCGGAGGGTGGTGGAGGAGCATTCCGAAAGGCCGAGGTAGCGCACTTTGCCCGAGTGGACGGCGGAGGCCATGGTAGAGACGATGGTTTCGACGGGGACTTTGCCGTCGAAACGGTGGCTGGAGGGTTGTCAGTGCTGGATGGGAAAAGGCTTGGATTGGGGGAAGAGGGAGATACGAACCAGTACCAGAGGTCAACATGGTCGGTTTGCAGTCTTTCCAGACTCCCATCGATGGCTTTTCGTATGTACTCCGGCTCATTGGAGAAAATGCGTGTACCGTCTGCTAAGCCCTTGACTGCGAATTTGGTTGCCAGAAATACCTTATCCCTCTCTCAGCATCACATACTCTCAAGATTTAGAACGAAGGTAGAGCATACCTGATCACGCTTTCCAGTCCTTTTGAACCACTTCCCAATCAGCTCTTCGTTGTCCCCATAGCCCTACACCAGATCAGCTTACGACTCTCGAACATAGCAAACATTCAATCCCGATTCATACCTCAGCAGTATCCCAGAACGTACAGCCCATCTCAAACACCTTATCCAGAAACGCTAACCGCTCTTCCTCGTCTCCAGCATCGCCGTAGAGCGTAGCTACTCATGCATCATATCATTAGCTCGCCCATTCTCATATCGGAGAAATCGGACACGGTAATTCCCTACAACTCAGCCCCATAGCCCCATACCCCAACGCACTAACCCACGGCCCATCCTTGCCCAATTGGCGCGTGGGAAGTTGTGCAGCCATTGCGGTGCGCTGCCGTAGTTATTGTTAAACGCTGATCGATCGGCAGCACGTTAGAGTTAGATTGGATAGGATTAAGTGCGTAAGTAAGTACATATAAGATGGACTTGTTTTGAAAGAAAGAAACATTCCGTCTGTTGTAGTTAAGTAACGGTGCACCCGTTCGGCGTTAAGCTTAAGTACCCCAAACAAATGATTCCTTACAAATCCATAAGGTACCCCGTCTTACCAGTACAGGTATTGATCTGTAAGTAAGCCATAGCCTGAGGTGATATTGGCGTGTGCAGAAAACGTTGGAATACTTGGCACTGAGAAAATCACACACACCACCAAAAGTAGTACTGAATAGATGAATCTTCTCCCATATCGCATTCTACCACCTTCCTCATCATATTTGAAGCTCCTGTATATCTCGCTTAGCCAATTCCTGTTGTTTCGAAATGCCCCTCGCAACGATCGATAGAAGGGGCTTACCTCCGCCTATTCGGTCCAGAATCGTTCGTTTGTTACTCCTTTGCGAGGTCCGATATCTGCCTCCCTACTCACCAGATGTCAATCCCATCGAGCTCTCTTTCAGCGTCTTGAAGGCACGGGTTCGAAGATACTTTTACGAGGTATGGCCTCAGTTCCAAGGGAACTTTGTTGACTTCTTACGATATGCCGTGATGAGGAGTCGGTGCGATCTCTTTCCGAGGGAGCATTTCAAGCATAGTGCTATGGGAGGCTATATCTTTGAGGCGGACATGAGGGAGTCAAATAGAGCTCTTAATGAGTGCGATATTCAGATAGATTTTGAAGACTAAACTACATTTGCTGCTGCTGCTACTGCCCCAGAGTCATTAAGGCCTTCGCCTGTCGCCATTAAGGCTTAAATACCTTCAAGTCTGCCTTAAAGCCTCTGACTAAAGCATCAGGAACCCCCAATTGTAAAGCAACACGATACATAAGGGGGGGACCCCTGACTGCGTCGATTGGGAGGCATTTTGAAACACTAAGGCAAGATATTAAGGATCGGCTAAGCGAGATATATAGGAGCTTCAAATATGATGAGGAAGGTGGTAGAATGCGATATGAGAGAAGATTCATCTATTCAGTACTACTTTTGGTGGTGTGTGTGTGATTTTCTCAGTGCCAAGTATTCCAACGTTTTCTGCACACGCTAATATTGCACCGATTCGGTAATTTTTCCCGGCCTTAACCCTCGAAAAAGTTACCAACTCATACCCCAAAACACGGATTCGTTACCGAGTGATACCCTAAATTCTGGCGGCGGCGTATGGAAATGTAACGCCAGGGTACGAGTTCGCAAACCATATCGAGCGAAGACAGTAATGACAGCACGTTGATTCGGTAAATTGCAGGCAGAGGCAGAATAGCCAGTTGCAACCAACCCTAATGACTGACGATTGGATATCGAGCCGAACCTCATCGCTCTCCTCTCCATTCTCGCGTGCATCCCGGAATCCATACCATCCGCGCGGACGGCGCTACAAGCCTACATATCTTGGCAGCAGCGGTACAATTGGTGCGCTCCATACACACAAAGTAGGTGGCACGGCTTGTGTAGCTCTGTCCAGACGAGCCGCGTCAGTGCGTACGTATTACCCATAGACGCATCTACTAATCTCACAGATGTCCAGAAAATCGGAAGAACAGAAAGACCTACCGTATCGTTGTGCGATTATGGGATAATGACTACTCTTTCACCTGATTCCTTTCTTACCTTTCCTCCCTTCTCCGTCTCTTCATCTCCCCACCCAGCCCATGTTGCATAAAACCTCGAATAAACAATCGACACCACACCAGCACATACCTAGCGCTAATCACTTCATTAACGGACTTCGTACTCTCATAACAACACAGATAGTCCCTTCCTCGCTTCATATACATACAAACATACATACATACATACATACATACATCACACAGCCACGCACTCAGCTTGATGAAATTGATGACGGCTTATTGTTTTTCTATGGAGGAGTACTGCTACTTATAGTCTATGCCAAGCATATCAGGGCTGAGTTGCTGAATTCCAACACTCCCCCTGCAGCGAAGACCTATTTGCTCCCCCCTGGGACTGTAGCTGTAGCTCCATAAATCAATTGCCTGTGTCCTGCTTTAAAGCCTCCTTAAACCCGTAAACCTCGCTCGTGTAGGGAAACCGGGAAGAGTGCTTTGGATGTGAGTGTGCCTACCGTAGTAGGGCTTTCCGAGATGACTTGCTGTAGGGTATATCGAGTGACTGATTCGTAGGCTTCGAGAGGGTGTCTGTTCCTTCGTGTCTCTAAACTGTCCTCTCCTAGAGCCTTGTCGAATGCCTTCGTAGAGGACTTTGTGGCGTGTTGTAGGGTATATCGAGTGACTAATTCGTAAGCTTCGAGATGTACGGGCTTCTGGCACTGGCATCGGGCACAGGCGTCGTTGGCTCTGGCACTGGCATCTGACACTGGCATCTGACATCTTTCTAACTATCGAGTCCTCCCCTAGCTGCCTTGTCTGGTGCGCTTCCACTTTCCTCCTCTAAATTCTAGCCCTAAGCCCCCCAATCTTCTGCCTTTAACAGTGCTGTGGTCGATATCGTATCGTAGGATCTGTGAGGTATGGAATTGCGCTGAAAAAGCCGTAGAGGTAATAAGTAGCAACTTGTGTTAACGCAGCGGACGTCGACCGGGACCTCTATGGCTGAATTGTACGACGTAAGAATACCTTTAGTAATCCCTTACGAAGGAAGCCGTCGTGGTGACGAGTTTCGTCAAACCGGGCTCATAACCTGATGAAATTGATGACGGCTTGTTGTTTTTTCTATGTGGCTGAGTTGCTGAATTCCAACAAGTACCCTAGAGCGAGTAGACGGGGCAATGGACAAGAAAGTAGAAGAAAGAGCCCGAGACGTGGATCTAAGGTAGCAGCGGCTGCGACACACTGTTCGGTCGTTTCAGAAAATCAAAGCATGCTTGTAAAGATCAAACCAGAAAGCACAAGATCTAGGGCAAGAGAGGAGAGTGTGCTCCCGTCAGGCAACCCTCAGGCTCCAGGACTGTCAGCGGAAGCTGCAGCACGAATTGCGAATTCGCAACCCCGGAAAATCTGTGAAAACCCGCCAGATCAAGAGACTGCTGGGTTGAAGGTCTCTATTCCGGATCCAGATTCGGTCGTGCCGCAAGCTCTGGACGCTAACAACGTCGGACCTATCGATAAGATGGCTAATGCATCGGACGATGTAGAAATGGAGTCGCATGAAGCAAACGAGTTGATTTCTTCCTCGGATGATAAAAGTGTGCATCAGCGACTGAAAGACGGTATCCCCGATGACCCTGGATCTATCGCTGAGTGCGAACATAGGCATTCAACAGGAACGGTTCTCGACGGAAACGAGGGTTTGATAGCTTCAAAGTTTCACCACTCGATCAACGCCAAGCTGGCACTCATAGAATCTCAGGTGCTTGAGGCTTTGTCAGCGGGCGAAGCAGGCCAGTACCGCGCTTCGATCAAGATTCAGTGGAACGTCTTGGGTTTCATGAATGACCAATTCCGTGAGGATGACTTTCCAAATTCAGCTTTGAGTCCCGTTGTTACAATAAGTGGGTCTGCACAGCACGCTCAAGCGACGACCTGCTCAGATTATATACAACAAAACTGGCCTGCACATGGTTCGAAAGTTCTGGATGCCCTACAGGCTGCTTTGGATAGCCCTTCCCACACGTCACAGTCTAAAATTTGTGATCGTATTGATGACGGAAATATTTCTAGAGACGGTGCACCCTCCAGTCATGCTGAGCTTGAGTTCCAAGTCACTCGCGGTTCTATGTCTCTCTACATCACATCCGGAAATCCAGACATCGTTGTGGACGTTGTCCAGCAGCTGGCAAGGATGGGGGCCGCACTCCGAACGGCCGGACTTGGTCGAATTGAATATTGTGATTCAAAGCTGGAGGCAGTCCTGAGACCTATGATATGGCTCTGACAGAGACGAAATCGAATGAAGAGCCATTGACAGGTGCAAAACAGGTGGCTATATAGCTCGTACTGGACACCTGTCCCCAACCCCTTGCCGGGGTACCAACAGGGGTACCAACAAGGGTACCAACAGGGCCAACGGCTGATCAAACAGCCATTAACGCTATGGCCTCATAATGGATCTACTAACCCACAGTCCCACTGTTGCGAAAAGGATAAGGATTACCTTGCCGTCGGCGTTTCAATGCTAAGGATGTTCTACGCAAAAGCCGGACACCGCCAGGATCAGCAATACCTAACCTCTGCGAAGCTCCAATGGCATCGAGGCTCCATGCTTTTTGAGCCATGCGCTGGCGTCAGTTCGAATCGCTGCAAGTGCGACCGTTTACAGCAGGTATACCACGACTCGTACAAAATAATCGGGCATAGAATCCCACACGGCAAGCTCGAAGCCAACGGTTGTGTGGTATTTGGTCAAGCCCATCACCCACTCAAGCTCCCCCAAAGCGTCGCCTGGAGACAAAACACGGTCCATATGTTACCCAACACTTCCATTCAGGATGGGAAAACCACCAAGAAGACTTCAACAGAAGATGATGGCTCACTATCACCGTCTCCTCCAACATCGGTCTCCCCTGAACGTGAAGAAGTCAATGGAAATGCAATCTGGAGCCCACAACGACGGCCGTCGCCACTGAGTTTCACTGACCATCTGGTGCAAGAAAAAGCGATTGCATCAGAGAGAAGACGTAAGACTCCACACATGCAGGCGTCGAGTTTCGACATGTGCAAGGGACCCAACGACAGCAATGACCAAATATCGTTGTCTGACGACTGTGCAACATGTCCCCTGGAATATCAGTCGATACTCAGATATGATAATCTGTCGAACGGACAATATTCGGGATGCAGAGAGACTATCCACGCTCCCAAAGCTGAAGACGCTCCACCACATGCCCCAAAGACTCGAAGTCACAAAGCGAAGATCAAAAACTATAGCCATCGTGGTGGCTGTTCATGTACGACTTGTTCCACAGGATCTTTTGAGCCACCAGAAAGCATGGAGCTTGTCAACACCGTCAAGGGCATTCGAAGGAATTCAACGAATATAGCAAAAATGCCAAACAGACAGCTAGTGTGATCTTGCAGTGTCTTTCAGAGCACCCATCACGAGTCGGATCTTCTCAGCAAGCTTTTAAAAAATCAAAACGAGGGACTTCTGTTTGGAACTTCCGCTCGAAATGTCTATCAAGGGACGGTGGCGGCAGCACAGTGCTTATTGATTAGCCATACTGTACATTGAAGACGCCAAATTCACGTCAGCCTCAAACCAAACATCTCAATCTCCAATCTCATTCGAGCCCAAGCAGCGCCAATCGCGCCGTAACATGCACCTCCGTCGGATCCCTAACCGGATCATAATACCTCCTACACTCCCTCTCCCAGCCTTGCAACAAACCCACCCAACGCCTCCCACACTCCTCCCTCTGCCTCCCCAAATCCTCTTCCTCCCTCTGCCTCCCAGTCCGGAAATACGCCCGCCAAAAATTACACTCGATCTCCGTGCGCAAATGCTCCGCTTCCGCTTCCATCGCCAGCAACGATTCGCGGATCTCTCCGCGCAGCGCTGCCGGGATGGGGTCTCCGGCGAGCGCGAGGGCTTTTGCCAGATAGGAGAGAGGGTGCAGGAAAGGATCCATAAGCCATGGCGTTAGGGAGTTGTTGGCCGATAAGGTGCGCAGATGCCACAGGTCTGATTGGCGGCGGCAGAGGAGGTGGAAGAGGCTTGAGGAGATGCTGGCGAAGGATCTTTGCGGTGGTGGGGGTACGTTGAGAGATCTGATTGATAGTTGGTGGTTCATGTTGTTGGAACGATGGTCGCGATTTTCATTAGTGTAAAAGCTGAGTGTGGCCAAGGAAGAGAGACTGACTGCACATTTTATAGATCTTAGACGCAGTTAGAGTTGCATGAGGGGACCATTGCTCTTTGTCTTCATTGCAAACCAGGCTCTGGGTTCTCACATGTTCCACCGTGTCTGAACGTTGTGCGCATTTTCTAAAGAGTTCCGGGACTGGGCAAACAAAGGTCGCAGTGACTGACACAGAACCAGAGACCTGCTTTCTCCACGCATGTCGGACACACTTGAAATATCTAGAATCGTCATAACAAGGTCCCTCTGCCAATGCAATGTCAAAGACGCTGATCTCCCCTTGAAAAGTCACGTTTCTTTGTAGCATCGGGTGATGCAAGCCCCACTGCCGTTAGTGAAGGCTTTGGGTGACCAGCGAGAAGTTAGGCAGACTGGTGGCATTGAGGATTTGCCACCGGAGACTACAGCAGAATTGGGTAGTTATCTGCCGAATGCCTAGTCTTCTTCGTCCCATGATGAACTCCAGCTCCACTCCACGGTCTAGTTCTACAGGAGAAGCTAGGATCTTTTTTGCCGACCGTAGCACTCCGGGTTTGCAACAGCGCCTAAAGCGAGCCGCAATCTCTCCTTTCGCTTCTACGGGTCCTTCTCTAGCACCCAAATCTTGTTGATATCTGCGCTATAGCTTAGGCGCAGGATAATAGGCGCGACTGCTATTTGCTCCTGTGCAATTTCTTTCCTTTTCAAAGGCGCGCCTGCTGCGCTCGACCCTCTTCCCTCTTCAAAGTCTTCTGGGCTCACGTCTCTTTCGATGGGGCCATTAGCATGCATTAGCCAGGCTCTGAGCGTTTCCTTACTGATACAATGCAGCTGTGCTCTACCTCAACAAAGTAACGTTAGATCCTCGTTTCGTGGAGAAACATGGTTCTGACTTCTTAAGCAGCCCCGAACGATATCACGAAAAGCAACGACTACACAATCCAGCACTGCAGTCTACTCGCCCCACAGGTCCAAAACGTGCTGGAAAGTCTCTACGATGTTCTACCACTGGCTATTCGGGAAACCCATTACGGGGTAACAAGTGCACCATATCAAGCGTTTTTCAAAAATTCGTATTACGAGACGGTTGTCCATGGGATATTGAGCAGGGTCACGATCGGAGTGCCACTTCGTCTGGATTTCGGCAAAGAATTGCTAGTGCCGAGTCTCGTCTGCGCATTGAAACCAGACACAGTGATCATTCACAAAGCAGGCCAAGAATTTGACATCTATGATATTTGCAAAGGAAATCCGACTTGGGCGCTCATGTACTACCCGAAAACACCGAACATCTTCATCTGCCCTCTTTTCTTCCTGATGCCGACACTGCCAGCCGTAGGGAATTGTCCAACTGTCAACGAGGCTACGAACCAATTCGAAGGAAACTTTACTGCTTTTTGGCAGTCGCAGATGTACATGCTGCTGCATGAGATTGCTCATTTCTACATTGGCGTCACGGTTGAGGATAGCGTGGACGAAACCATGGATTGGAACTATGCGTTTTCGCTCTCGCCGATGAATGCGACTTCCAATGCGCTGAATTATGTTCTCTTTGTGGCCAGTAAGTGCATTTTCACCTGGAATGGTCGGTCTTATAAACGCTTAGTATCACCTCGTCGCTGACGCTTACCATTTAGGCGTCGACAAAGGATGCAGAGACTATCCACAGGCAGATCAGCCGCAGTCTTTCGAAGGTCGGAAGCTTGGAACGATGCTAGATCTGCTAAATACGTCTTCCCCAGACATCGTGGAAAGCCAGAGACTTGACTCTGTACGGGGTAGAGTGTCGCCGTATCATACCGATGCTACGAACCTAACGTTTGCGCCGAAGAATGAGACTTCCTTTAGATGAGAAACTCGTGGAATACGCGTGTGCGGTCCAAAGCATCTTAGGTTCGCGACACTTCTGCCCTGAGTATCGATGTAGCTGATGCAGATGCCGTCGCCTCTGTATATGTACATGTCATGGCCGGAGCGGAAAGAGAAAGGAGAGAGGAAATGCGCCCCATCGTAGGGTGGTATAGTATGAATTGTGAGCCATTGTAAGGTCACAGCATGTCCTGTGACAAAAAAAAGAGCGCTTACTCCGCTTGGTAGAGGGAACAGACTCCGAAAACATCTAGTTTGCTCAAATCTGATGTATTGGCCACGCGCTCCGCTCTGATTGCTCATCCTCCCGACAATATTTGACGGGAACCACTTCATGAGTTCTGAGCTATTAATGATTTCTTTCTCACATCACCATACAGTTATGGTCAGCATTAGCTAGATCCTGGATCTCAGAGTAACGGTAAAAGCAATGCGCCAAGCTGGGAGGCGAAAAGGAGTCACGTGATACAATCCTGAAACTTGTGACCGAGAATATCCGTACGTCGTACCTCAATCTTGCTCCAACTCTTGACAAAACAAATGCGTCTCCCTTTCAAAAGCTCACTCCTGTAAGTTCACAAACTGTCAGTGTTGTATTGCCTTGTTGATATGCGACATGAACAAAGGAAGCCACAATAGCCTTTGTCCTCTCATTGTCGAGTATCGCACCTTCCGATATCAACCCCTCGTACCTGAGCCCTTGGAAATCCTAGCACCAGTCTTCGGCCCCCAACCTCATCTCGAGTCCTTGTTCAAGACGTCATTACGTGCTTGGTGTTTTATCAAAGGATTCACCGCATCCTCAACGTCACATCGCGTTGCTTTTATCGCGCCACGCCAAAAAATCGCGCTCGCCATTTCACAACACGATTAACCGTTCTTTAAGGACAGATCCTCCATTATGCAGCCTGGAGAGTGCACCGCCTCCATCGGCAGCTCGGAAGACCCTACAACAACGCAAATCATCACGGATAACGCCGACTGGCTAGAAAAGATTACCCTTGACTCATCCGATTACATCCTTCCGTCAGCCGAGGTCAATTTCGAGCCCCCCGACGACACCGATTCAGCAGACGAAGATGCCGCTCTAGTCGCACACTTGTGGGACAGAGACCACGCCTCTGACCTTGAGGCGTACGAATGGAATTCCGACGACCTCGTGAGCGAGGCCTGCTCAGATGATGGAAACGCTTCTGAGGAGGAGCTCCCAAGGTTGGCCCGTAAGGACGAGTTTGAGCAGGGTATACGGCGAGAGGGGACTTGGACGAGGGAGTACCGCGAGCGGTGGGAGGAGCATCATCTTTTCTATAAGTCGAAGATACAGTCACGGTTGGAGACCTCCGGGGATGAAAAGGGGAATTATGAGGGGCATTCCTGTGTCTCGGAGAGTGCTTGGAGCGCTGCGGGGGAGCAGGGTTGGAGTACCCCTGCGACTTCTGGTGGTGGGGATTGGACTACGAATTGGACAGCAGGGGATGGCTGGACCGAATGGAAGAAGGAAGATCCAGAACCTTGGACCCAACCCGGCACTCCATCACCGCAAGATACGGATATCGTTGATGCGGACGGATCTGCAAGAACAAATGAGGATTCTGGTGAGCTAAATTCCTGGAAACAATCATCGGGGTTGGGACACCTTAGTAAGAGGACTGCTTACAAGGAATCACGCAGCACTCCAACCGTCTCCCACTTCTCCAAGTCTACCCATACCTTACCCACCACCCCTTCATCCTTGTACGATGGACCCACTATTGCAAACCTCGACGACAGCACCGCCCTTCCTCCTCCTACCTCCTCCCAACTCGCCAAAACAGCCCTTCGAAACCCAAAGCGGACCGCAAGATTCGGAGACCCAGAGCCTGTGAATGCAAAAGCAACCAGCTGCTCCGACCTCGCACTCGACGCAAAGATACTGGACAACTTTCTCGACACTTGCATTGAGAAGACACAAGCTCTGCTCGCAGATGCGAAAAAAGTCCTCACATTACAGGCGCGAGTCGAGGAGATCTCGGAGCCTGTAGAAAATGAAGGACGGTCTTCTCACGTGCAGAAGGCCGCGCCAGGTGGCGAAGTGAGAGCACCGGGAGCGCTGTTGGAGGAGACTGTCATCACTCCCGCAGAGATCGTCAGGGTCGAAGGCTGGTGGAAGGTAAAGGGCTGCGACACGTGGACGAAAGCTCCTGGCCCGTGATAAGCAAAATGACGCAACCGTTCCCGTGCTGTAGTCCCTTGCGCTGAGAAGTAACGCCTAATATATTTGCCATCATAGTGCAGCGCGCAGGGCATTATTGGTTGTCTCGCATGCTAGCTGCGTATTTCCTATATACGCATTTTAGTTTCCACGATGATGAGGTGAAATTCC